TGTTCATATTAAGATATAATTTCTAACTGTATTTTGTTAGTGACAAGATTGCTAAAAGGATCAGCTTTAATTAACCCTGAGTGACGAGTGTTTTAGCAGGTGTCCTGTCCATTAGCATAACAGCAGAGCACTTGAACTCACCTGAGCCCCATTCCTGTCAGGACACAATCTGAAAGGCAGGTGGATTGGGAACTGACCACCATCTGCTGCCCAACTTCCACTCACAGTGAGATCCATGCAGCCAAACAACAGCCAACCTAGTCAGCCCATCTACTTAGTTAAATAAATCCAAAATGCTTTGCCAACAGTGTGATGATAACGCTCCTGTGATCATTAGAGAACAGTATTTTTGCATCACTCCAATTGGACGTTTACTCCTGCACCAGATGTCACCAGGGCAATTAAAAAGATGCAGAGAATTAAATGGTGACGATGGAGGCCCAAGGAGTGGACTCTGATTCCAAAGGCAACATTTGGAAGCATTCAATCCACCTGGTTTCAGCAGCTGGGACACTGGTCACACTGCAGCCCATGTATGTCCATGTCCCTGAGGGCAGAGTGCTGAGGCACAGTGTGGGCAGCAGGGCACTGCCTTGCCCCACCCAGTGCTCTGGGCTATTGCTGCCTCCAGTGGGTGAAGACGTGGAAATGGGGCAGTCAGGTTACCTTCTTTTAGCAACTGCTTGAAAAAGAAAATGGATACAATTAATGATCGTACATGCACGTCTGCCACACATTTTGAGTTGTTATGAAATATATATATTAAATATTTTTATTGATTTCAGAGAGGAAGGGAGAGGGAAAGAGAGATAGAAACATCAATGGTGAGAGAGAATCATTGATCGGCTGCCTCTTGCACACCCCCTACTGGGGATCAAGCCCGCAATCAGGCATATGCCCTGACCAGGGATCAAGCTGTGACCTCCTGATTCATAGGTTGACATCGACCATTGAGCCACGCCAGCTGGGCATGTTATGAAATATATTAAAGCAAGTTGACAACAAACATATTTCAGACTTTATTAGAATAGTTGTGTGATACAAAGTACAAAAGACGACAAACCTGCCACTCGAGGCTGACCCAAGATGCCGCTCAGTTTCTCAGAGTTCTGAGAATCAGTGCCCTGTTCAAGCGTGCCCTCCCCCCCAACCTGCGAAGCACTCATGCCTGGGATGAAAATAAACCCCGCATTGAAAGCCCATGATTCCAGAATTAGTGGAACACAGTTTAAATACACGAATTTAAAACTACTTACATTCTCACTTAACATTCATGAAGTGACTAGCCATTTACAATCACACCTACCATAGCAGAACAAGACCTAGCATACAATCTAGTTCAAGCTTAAGCCAAATATGCAAAAAGAACTTCAGCCCAGGGGAGCAGAGGACAAAATCTGCTGTGGGGAGGGGAGAAAACCCTTGCCACTTTGCAGATAAAAGAAACTATTCGAGAAAGAAATTCTAGAGTTGCTTCTTAAAATAAATGGGCATTAACGCTAAGAACAGATGAAAGCACAATTTTTTTAAAGCACGTCAGTTAATATTAGTTCCCAAAATCAGGAGGTGGGGAATTTTGATTATTGTCTTTTTGGGTTTTTTGTTGTTGTTCATTCCATGAACCACACATATCTAAGCAGTGGGTTTTGCAGCCTGACAGAAACAGATGTGCTCGGGGCTCATATCTCAGATTCCCACACTGGACCTATTGTTTAAGGTGATGGAAATATGTAGAGCCATTACATGATTTGCAGCTGCTAGAAAGCATTGCTTTCCTGTTTTCCTGTTCCAGACAATGGCAAAGTCCAGGAGAAAAATAGCACAAAAGGCTTTCCTATATTTGCCTTTAAAAACTGCATTATTTTGAAGTTTGTACTATTTTTGTCACATCTCACCTCTTTTCTTTTAGTTTTCACATGTTTGTGGACAAGAAAGTTGGAGTAAAAGTAACCAGTGCTGAAATGCATATTCTTCAAAGATCTCTCGTGAGGAGGCCAGGTGCCAGCACAGCAGGCTCAGACAGGTGCTCAGGTGCTCATGCTTAGAACATAAACGAGAACAGCGACACGCACATGTGCGTTTAAGAGAAAAGAGATTCATTCCCTCCTCAGGTCCGCCTTCATGATGGACATGAGCAGGTATCGCACGCTTAACTTTTGATTCCACTTGTTTGCCTGATCATGAAAAGATGGGAGGAGGAGCCTTTGCCAAGGTTGCTAGGCTACCACTGAACAACACTTAGGGCTAGAGTTGGCCTTGCAAAGCCTGACGGGGACCGCACCCCAGAGTCCTCCTGCCCTCAACTCAGAAACTGCTTAATTCACCCACTTACTGCTGCTGGGAAAACGCCATGTGGATGTGTAACATCACAGTGTCACCACCCCGATGGTCAAGCTGCCCTCAACAGCTGCGTGTGCCTCGAGGCCGCACTGCTGAGCAGTGGTGGGTCCTGCTCACCATGCCCACCACCCCCTAGGCCTTGTTGGATAGTTGCCCCACCCTCGATTTCCTCCACGCCTCAGATTCCCGAGGGGGAAATGTCCTCTTGCATCAGGCTCTACAAATAGTAAACAAGAAAAAGAAGCAATGACTGTCCCTAAAAGAAAGAAATGGGCCTAGTGAGGTGCATAATTAAAGGTGTCCTCCCCCTTTTCAATTATCTGCCTTGGAAGGTGAAAGGTAAGAGGAAGTAAGTTTGTCCCAGATCTAGGTTTTCCAAGAGTTTCTTAAAATGATTGAACTATGGGAAATACTATTTGGACAAAAGTCTCCATCGCCTTTGAGCCTTTGCTAAGTAGACCCTTCTCCCTCTGCCCATCGTCTCACTTGTCCTGCTGCTCAGCAGGTCAGAAACAGCAGCACCTGGTCCGTCCCCACCCAGGGACGTGGTTGGAGGGTGTGCACATGGCAGGGCCACCTCTCCCCATGCTCAGCCCCCATCCACTTCTCTGACTGTGTCATGGCTGAGCCACCTGGGCCCCTGTGAATAAATGGGAAGTTCACCAACGGCCACACAGCCCACAAACACTTGTGTATTCACTGCGGTGGCCCGGAGCTCTCCAGTACAAGGGTTCAAGTACTCAGGCAGAATTATAGCAGTGTTACAGGGGAGAATAAAGCATCTGTTTGAGGCCAGTAGTTTCATCAGTTTCTCTGCCTGAGGTCAATGCAGGTCGAGGATCTTGGCCGCTAGTGGGCAGTGGCATGAGAGCAAGAGACCTCACTGGCATTTGGGGGGCCAACTCAGCCAGAGCAGATTCTGAGAAACTGCTATTTATCAGCCCTTTTAGCCCCTTGGGGGCCCTAGAAGAACTGAACACAGAAATGAGAGTGCATGTTAGTAACCTCAGCCAGTCCAAGGCCCGCAGGATCACAGAGGACTTGGGCAAAGCCCAGAGTAAGATCGTCTCCTTCATCCCAAACGAAAAGAAAAACTGTAAAAACCTAGGGGGAAGCTGTTGAATTTGCATTTATTTCATATCAGTGCAGATACTGGTCAGCAACAGCCTTTCAATCACCAGTTGGTTCCCATACAAGAGACTGCCAGGGTCCTGTGATGAAGGGGCACAGCTTTGGTCTCCTAGAGTGTCAGACACCACTAACTCCAAGTCCCATGGTCAAAAAAAATAATAAACTGTAGCACCTACATTTCAAATTTGGCAAAAAAAAAAAAAAATGCGTACTGGACTCTGAGGGCCAGGTGTTAACCTCTGGGACTGTTGCATTTCTAAGGCAAAACCAGAAACAATGGGATGCCCTCCTTTGGAATCTCTGGAAGGAAGCCCATTCCCTCTGGACGTCTGCATGGCGGCAGCAGACAGCCCCCAGGGACCAGAGGCCTTCCAGGGCTCCTCAGGCAGCGGGCACAGCCTTGACCCACCCCCCCACGCCCCCAGGGGCTGGAGGCCTCGCAGCTCCTCAGGCAGCGGGAACAGCCTTGACCATCCCAGCGGCTTTCTGGCTGCACAGGCAGAACCTCACAGTACTGACCACATCGCAAGGGGAAATCTTGGCGAAGTGAGCCTTTGAACATGAGGATATAAATTAACGTTGCTTTGAGCAGTTTTTATAGTTGCAAGAGATTTTAGTTATTCTCTCTCCTTTCCCTCCTCCAGACCCCCTCTTAAAGAAAAAGAGAAAAAGGGGATACAAGTTCCTGAAGCAGCATGGGGACTGTCATGGTGCATGACTGGCCCCCGGCCCTTCTGTGTGCTGCAGCCACACATCAGGATCAAGTTGTCAGGACTGAACTGTGCTAATGTCGACAGTGAACCGGGCTAAAAAGCTTTATGATGCCAGCAAGGCATCTCCCTCACGTGTCCTTTGGAAACAATCAGAGCGAACGACTCTCTAGGGTGCCCTCCATCTACAGTCAAAGCACCGAAATGCAGAGCTGCCTGAGGTGAAGGCAGGGACGCGGGGCAGGCGGGGCGGGTGTCTCCGGATGCGCAGGCTTAGAGACAGGTTGCCCCTGGCGTCTTCCCTGTGAGTGTTCAATGCCTCCGCAGTCAAGTCTGTGTTCACATCAGAGCATTTAGATGAAATTAGATTCAAGTGTTTGTGGAACAAACCCTGGCCTCCCTCTGCAGCACTTTTGATTATTTTCAAAACCGTTGTAACTCGCTTCATACAACTTTACCCACATTTTTCAAGTTTCTAGCAAATGAAGACAAGACTCTCAGACACTTAAGAACGAGACATGTGATTTCTAAACTCCCTACCTCCTTGCTAACTAAGTGGATTTCTGGTCGCTGTGGAGGATTTCAACAACATCGAGGTCGGCAGGACTTGTGATGGGAAAATGCATGAATGTAAATGCAAAGACATGTTTTCAGTCCTAAATACGTTCCCTTTGACAAAAAAAAATAACTTCTTACATAATTAAACAATAATTTACTTAGTCGCCATTATACTAGTTAGCATTTATCAGACCCCTTTTCTTCTTCGATGACTCCAGTGAGCAGAGAAGCCCATTAGCACCTGACATAATCCAGAACCAGTGCAGAAAAAGGAAATCAATCGTATTCGTATTTGAAAAGGGAGACTGAGTGACAATTGTTAATATTCACAAAATTCCCCGCCATGACACCGCAACGCATGGCTTCCACTCTGGGAATAACACACGCATTTAGGATACACCTGAAAGTCCCACGTGGCCAGGCTTTTAAGGAGAAAGTTGACAATTGTTTGCTAAGATTCCAGTCCAGTCTTTCAGAAGGATGTGGGTCCCTCCATCTGAGCTCTGAGGATGGTGGCAGCTGACTGGCAGTGTCTCTGGGGCCACCTTCAGCAGTCTGTCCCAGGTGTTGGACTATGGAAAACAGAAGGTGACAGCGTTGGAAGCTGGTGGGCCCTGCCCTGTGTGTCTAGACCCTGGGGGAGGGAGCTGCAAGCAGATCAACTGTCCTAAGGGAGCTCAGCATGCCTTCGGGTTCACAGCAGGACTGGGCTTACTGTCCAGCTTGGACAGTGCCTGCCCCTGCCCTCTACCTGTTTGTGGGATTGTTGCCCACCCCCCCTCCCTGTGTCTGCCCCCTCCTGCCCTGGGCAACCTCATCCTAAGGGAGCTCAGCATGCCTTCGGGTTCACAGCAGGACTGGGCTTACTGTCCAGCTTGGACAGTGCCTGCCCCTGCCCTCTACCTGTTTGTGGGATTGTTGCCCACCCCCCCCCCTGGGTCTGCCCCCTCCTGCCCTGGGCAACCTCAGCCCTCTTTACCTGTACTGGTTCTCCATGGCCCTGCTCTCAGCTCTCTCCGGAACCCAGGAGTAGCTGTCTGCCGCGCTCTGGGGCTTCTTCTCCTTCTCCTCCCTCTTGGCTCTCCGCTTGCGGTAGACCAGCAGCCCCAGGGCCAGAGCCAGCAGGAGTAAGATGGCCGCCACAGTGCCGAGGATATAGAACAAAAGCAGCTTTTGCCAGTCGGGGTTGTCATTCTTTTGTTGGGCAATGAGATCCCTATCCGTAGACTCCTCGTGACCAGTGGTGGCTGTGGGGTGATGGCTGCTGTACTCCATCCAGATTCCAGGGGACCCAGTGGTGGCCAGAGACTGGGGTGACGTAGGGGTGATAGAGGCATTGGATTCAAGGAAGAGTCTCCACCCGGTGGATGCCACCTTGGAAGTGCCCTCAGGACCCCCAGTTGGACTTGAGGTTGTGGTAGAAGGCCTGAGGCTCCTTTCTCTATCTCCTGTGTTCTGCTCCTGGGGGGTCTCAGCAGATGGTCCCAGGAACGTGGGGCCTGTGATACAGGAGACCCCGTCGGGAGCCAGCTCCATGCCTGGCAAGCAGGTGCAGCGGAAGGACCCTTGCGTGTTGAGGCAGTAGCCTTCACAAAGGCCACCCTCGGGGCTCGTACACTCATCCACATCCTGACAGGCCTGCCCTCCGGGGCTGCTGGGCTCGTAGCCCACCCAGCACTGGCAGTGGAAGCTCCCAGGGGTGTTGACACACTCCTGTTCACAGGGGGAGGCCTGGCACTCGTCCACATCTACACAGTCCTGCTGAGTCGCGTTCAGCTGGTAGCCTTCGGGGCACTGGCACGTGTAGTTTTTCCAGAGGGACTCGGGGACGCATGTGGCCACTCCTCTGCACGGGCTGGAGCTACAAGGGTCCCGGGAGATACAGGTCACCAGGTCATCCAGCAGCCTGAACCCCGGGCGGCAGCCGCAGCGGAAGGAGCCACCCTCCCCCTCCAAGCATTCCTGCTGGCAGCCCCCGTTACCGAAGCTGCATCCGTACTCAGCGCTGGCACAGAGGGGTCCCGAGATGCCCCAGTCAAACACATCAGTGGCCTTCTCCTTGCACAGGAAGAAATGCTGCCTAATCTCATCCCTACAGGCCACATTGGCCACCGAGGCGAAGGGCACAGCCTCCAAGGAGGAGCTGGTGGCCTGGAAAGGAGTGGTGTAGTTCACCTGGCCTGGGCCCCCCAGGGCCAGGGGCCGGCACATGCCTTTGAAGCTGAACTTGCACACGAAGCCCTCGATGTTGTTTACAGGAGCGCCCAGGCTCCCACAGGGGCCCTCAGACCACTTGGGGAGGTGGCTGGAGAGGGAAGAGACGGACGGGTCCAGCATCAGGGACACACAGCGCTTGGAGATGCAAGTGTGCCTGGCCTCCTTGTACCAGTTGGAATACAGTGTGTCCTCCCCACCGCCCACCCAGCTGAAGCCCTTCAGGGGCAGCCTGGGGTCCAAGCACTTGCCCCTTTCTCGCTGGAGTCCTATCCAGAACTTGCCTGTCCAGGGCGCCCCAGGCTGTAGGAGCTGGGCCAGTGCTCGCTGGATGTGCCGGGCCTCCTCCTCAGTCCTCACTGTGGCCAGGTTGCCCCCGTCCTTGCTGCAGAGAAGCTGGGCCTCGGCGGCAGAAAGCTTGCCCCAGTGGGCCGAGTAGCAGGCAGTGCCCGCGCACACCACGGCCTGTGTGTCAGCACCAGCCCCCAGCCAGGGCTGGCTCAGCAGCGGCAGCAGCAGCAGCAGGCTGGCGGAGGTGGCCATCGCGATCTCCGTGTCGCCCTCGGCGGGGGCTGGAAGTCTGACAGTGACCGTGCCCGCCCCAGCCAAGCTCAGAGGGGAGCCGAGGGCTCAGACGCTGACACTCTGGCACAGAGAAGAACACAAAGGCTGCAGGCTTTGCACGTCCCCCTGACCCAAGGCGCATCCTGTGCTGTTGTATTTCTTATTTCTCACCGGATACTGGGACTTCCTGCAGTGAATAGTTTTCTGACTCCTGTTGCCTTCATCATGGTTTTGTTGTTCATAAAAGGAGCCAGGCGGCTTTGCTGGGTCCCTGGCTGAGCTCTGGGAAAATGTGGCCACATCGGGGGAAGGCAGCCCGGGACACTGGCTGCTTTATTTTGGATCCATTCTCTCCCATCCATACGAGGAGCTTAAATGGCATGCTACAGAGCGAGGAGGGAGTTTCAGGAGCCAGGAACTTGAACATCTCACTGAGCAACCCATAACAAAATTCCACTCTGGTTTGCAAGCAACCAGAAAGAGGAAAGAATCCTCAGACTTGACACACGAGACCACGGATGGTTATCATTTTCAGCCTTTTTTAGAAGCAAAGTGGATTTTTCTTTTCCTATCTCACGTTCCCTTCAGTTTTGAGAGTCTTTTCCCTTTTATTGCCCCCATCATGAACTTTAAATAGAGAGGCAGTTTTTAAATAGGAACTGGGCCGTGGGAATGTCTGAGTGTCTCATACAGCACCAAGCGCCTCGAGAACATCAAACCAAATTGGGCGAAATTTCGCAGTTTTCAGGGTGTCACCGTGCAAACACTGTGCGGGGAGGAGGCAGTGAATCCAAAGCATCAGAAAGAAAAAATGGAAATGTTTCTGGCCTCCTGGCCCTGGGCTTGACCCTGCCTGCCCCGCTCAGGGTTCCCGGGAAGGGTCGGACGTCTGGGCCCAGGAGGAGGGTCCAGGCCTGGCTCCCGTTGCCTTCATCACGATTCTGTTGTTCCTAACAAGAGCCAGGCATCCTGGCTGACCACCTCCCACACAGCAACTCACCAAAGGCCCTAGACTACCAGGGTTGTTGTTTTTCCCAGTGTCACAGGCCCGTTGTGCTTATTGGGGCCGTCTTTGATTGGGGTCCCCCAGAAGCAGACCCTGAGATAAGGATTCAGGGCAATTAGTTTATTTGGGAGGAACAGTGAGACAAAAAAAAAAAGGAGGAGCCAACACAGGGTGACTGAAAGGGCAGGCGACACTGGGGCCCCTGGACCTCAGTTCCCTGGGACATTCTGAGAGACGATGTGGGTCATATGGCAGAGTCTCCCAGCTGAGGGGCGGGGCTTGGCACAGGTCTCCTCCAGCCTCCTCCTCGCTGGCGGCAGCAGCCCCTTGGTGCTCAGGGCTGACTGTGAGGACCCAGCACACCAGAGGGAACACGCAGGTGGAGAATCACAGGGGACCGCCACGGGCTGTGGGTGCAGTACCAGCATCTGCCATATAGAGATTTGAGTGAGTTTAGGGTTTAATGGGGTTTAGGAACTCACTGGCTTCCAGCTTCCCCAAAGCATAAATCAGGTGCCCATCTCAGATTTCAGCTGGATATCTTTCAGAGGTGTTCCTTATGTCCTGCTTATTTTCATAAGGTATTTGAGATAGTCCAGGGACCCTCTCTCAGAAACTACAGGATCTTCCCTGTGCTCCTTGTTGCTTATGGAGATCCATCCATCATCTATCCATCTACTATTCATCCATCTGCCCACTATATGCATCTGCCCATGCACCCAAAGTTAATTAAGCCCCTACTATGTGCTGGGCTCAGCACTGAGAATCTAGGAGGGGAATCTTGCCTTTGTGACCCTTAAAGTCTGAGTGGGCAGATTTGAACAAGTTGAACAGTTGAAACTGTGACAAGTACCACAGGGAGAAGTTGAGGGCGTCAGAGATGTCCTGACCTGGTGAGGGGTGGGCCAGGCTCCTCTGGGGAAGAATAGCAATGAAGCCAGAGTCTTAGCGAGGAATATCTAAGAGGGAGAATGATATCCATAGAGGGGGCCAGCACATACCAAGGCCCTGCTGTGGGAGGGCTGTGAGCTTCTCAGGGAGTAAGGAAGGGCAGTGAGATTATATCCTGAGGAATAAAAAGGAAGGATGGGGAAGGTGGAGCCCTGTGAGCCCAAACTGTGAAGATGTAGGGCTACTTCAATCCATGGGGAAACACAGAGGGGCTGACAGGCTGAGATGTGTATGAGAAAGCGTCCCCCCTTCTGTGGCGTGGCGAGGGCTAAGGGACCCTGAGCAGCCGATTTCCCAGGCAGAGAGGAGGGGGACTCGGACTGAGATAGGCCCTAGAGGAAGGACAGCAGATTCAGGAGATGATCAGGCCATTCTTGGTGCTGCATGGAGTGGGGTGGGAGGGCACACAGGAGGGCTTCCTGGTTTCCTGTTTATACTACCACTTTCCGGGGTTCTTAAAGGCTGTGCCCACGGGAGATGAGGAAATGGGGCTGGGCTGAAGAGCAATCAGAGGGGCTGGTTGTAGGGTCTGAGTCTCCCAGACCCCCTCTCCTCATGACTTGCCACCTCAGGATTCTGAATTTGCTCCCAGACTTGGGGAAGTAGCCAGGTTCAAGGGGACCTGGGAAGGCTGGTGTCCTTAGTTTCGGGCCAGCGTTGCTGGACACACATTGAGGCTTAGTGAGTGTCGGTGCTGATCTCCGCCTGGAAGAAGCTGCATTTCTAAAGGTTTGTTTATGGGCAAGTGACTTCTTCACATTCTCCAAAAGCAATCTGACAGTGTTCGCCTTGAGCTGGGCTGCAGCCTGCCATCGGCTCACAGCAGGGAACCTCTCTTCTGCTTTGGACTCCTGTCTGCAGCCCACAGCTGGTCCCTCAGTTAACTATCATGATCCTGCAGGATCTGCCAGCGGGCTGTTGGTTGGTGCGTAAGGACACGGGTTGAGTGAGTGGCTTACCTCTTGTTAGCCACCCTGCCACCCAGATCTTTTTCAGGATTTCTTCTTTTGCTGGCAATTCTTCATCTTCCACATGGGAACTTGTAAATCGACTACTCTTCACTTAGCCGAGTGTTGACGTCTTAAAGAAGAAAATGAACTAGCAAAGACATGTGTGCAGGTTATTCATCCGTTAAGCCAGGAAGTACCGTGAAGCACTTACTGTGAGAAAGGCCACGTAAATGGCCGGAACTGCTCTGTCCTGGGAGTTGGGGGTTCCACTTCATCATTTCTAGTAACCCCGTTAACTCAGCCTTGGCTCCAATCCCCTGATCTGTACACAAGGAGATGGGACCAGGACCCCGAATGCCTTTCTTGCTCTAGCACCAGCAACAGTGAGCTCTTGTTCCCTTCATCCTCTGGATTTATGTAGGAAGCAAACTGGGGAGGTAGTGGGAACGGAGTCCACTGCCAAGCCCTCACCAGATGGCATAAGGCAGTGAACCACCTATCTGCACAGCATAGATGCCATGTTCCTCTTGCTGACCCACTGAGCTTCGAGAGACGGTACAGTTGCTTTACTGGCTCTCCCCTCTCTCCTTGGCGCCCTCTGACTTTCTCTCTGTCCCTTGAGGAGGGACCATGACGTCCACAAGATCAGCAGAAAATGTAAGCAGTCGTTAAAAGTTGGTCTTTTAAATTATCTGTTTATTTTCACCAAGCCCCACTAACAAGGTCAATGATAAAATTCTCCTCCCCGAAAAAAAAACAAAAACAAAAAAAGTAAGTTTGTTCATTGTTGGTCTAAATTCTAAACAATTGTGGTAGTCGTGGTTATTTTAATAATATATATGCAAACTTCAGATTAGCCCTTTTTAATTACATATACTTTAATAAGCATTGTATTCCCCTTGGAGGTTTGGGGAATTCCCACTTACAATGCAGGTCCCCAGCCCTCAGGCCTTCCCACCCACGTGCCTTCCGGAGCAAGTTCCTGCTGGGTGGGAGTCGCTCAGCTGGATGGACCACACATATCCGCGCACAGACACAGTTGATTTGCAATGAACAATGATAGTAGAGACTGTGAAGACAAAGAAATAAAACCTGACCCTTCAATTTCATCATCCTCTGTGATCGCTCGGAATTTCTGGGTTGAAAGTTTAAAACAAGAGAAAAGAGTGGGAATAGTGAGGCATGATATCTTTAGTTAAGTGCAAATATTAGCGACTCACTTCAATTTCATCATCCTCTGTGATCACTTGGAGTTTCTGGGTTGAAAGTTTAAAACAAGGGGAAAGAGCGGGAATAAGTGAGGCATGATATCTTTAGTTAAGTGCAAATATTAGTTGGCCTGCACCTGAATAACATGTTTACAAATTGAAATGTCATCCTTTTTAATAGTTTGTGTTGAAATTGATGAACAAGCCTGTCCAGCGTGGCTCAGTGGTTGAGCATTGACCTATGAACCAGGAGGTCACGGTTTGATTCCCAGTAAAAGGCACATGCCTGGGGTGTGAGCTCAATCCCCAGTGTGGGGCATGCAGGAGGCAGCCGATCAATGATTCTCTCTCATCGTCGATGTTTCCTTCTCTCTCTCTCTTCCTTCCTCTCTGAAATCAATAAAAATCAAATTAAAAAAAAACCTAAAGAACAAAATTAAAAATTATAAATGTTGATTATGACATGATTATTTCTGAAAGTAATTATGTTATACCAAGGTCTGAGCTGCTGCACCAACCCACCTGGGGTACAAGTATGCCAGGTGTGCAAAACCACACTAGGACACACTTCTCCCAGTGGGGCAGCTTGTCAATTTCCCGACTGTTCTTCATTGAAGGAATAGAACACATCTACCCTGGGTTCAAAGCCCACTCTGACACTCACTAGCTGTGCGACCTTAGACAAGCTACCGAACCACTCTGTTCATGTTGTGTGGCACAACCATCTGTGACTGGTTCTTCAACTGGAACAGGGGGGACAGTGCAACTTCGCATCTCATGAGGCTTTGTGAGGGTCGCATAAATCAGTACCTGGAACACTCTCAGAACAGTGCCTGGCAGGAGGCGTGAGCAGCCATCACACCAGGAGGCCCAGGAGCTGCGAACTCCCAAGACTCTGCCTCCAGTAACTGAAACTGAAGCCTCACCTTGACCACTTGCTGGCTTCGGGATTAGACCCCACCTCCTCACCTGCAGAGATCTTGTCTTCCTCATTTGTCAAATGGGAAGAATAAGGGTCATGGTGCCAAGATGCTGCCGTGAGGATTACATTAAAGAAGACAATAGCTGTGAACACTTCCTATGGGGGCTGGTGCACAGACCAGAGTCCTGTCCCTGT